GGCTGTAAACAATCGACGTCACTCCGGTTGGAGCACAGTGCACGCAGAAGATTTTTAAACAAGTGGCACGAGTCTTGCACTACTTGCAGCATGCTAAAACTGGTCAGTTAAAACAAAGACCAAGAAAGCCCATTGGTTCAGGTTCAGGCAATCAAACTGACGCTCGCGAGTACACAGTGGGCATAGCGTTCTGGCACACAAAGCGTAATGAGAGCATAGAAAAGGCAATAGATATTTCGGGAGGGGGAGGGCTGGTACAAATTAAACAAAACAATGTTAGATCTTTGAAGATTCCCATTGTAACATTTGAGAAAACACGAAATAGCGAACATGCTCGTTTTCCATAACTTCCGCATTCGGCTAATACAGTTATATAAATATGTAGGTAATAGGTATACCACACTTGTATAATGTTTGACGTGTGTGTGCAGATTGGATTGGTGGATACAATAAGTCCATTGTGTTTGTAGAGGGGAACAGGGATGTGTCACATGAGGGTTAGGAGAGAGTCACGATTAACCATCACCTGTTTGGGGCACAAGGTCAAGGGGTCATGAAACTGTTCAGTTCTAATCATGCGATTGAGTTCACTACGTGGTCATGGTAGTTGAAGTGCTTTATCAAATCGCTTTTGGGGAACAAAGCGATGGATTAAACAAATGGATAGCCACTGCCTCAGTTGTTGTTGACCAACAGCCTTAGACGGAAAAGGAGGCATCCGGTAGATCACCCTGAAGGCATCTTCATTCACAGTATGCCCAGTATTTGCGAAGTGTTATTTATATTGTATTTATATTTATACAGCTGTATTGGCCAGATGAAGATGATATCGAAAACGAGCCTGTTTGCTATTTCGTGTTTTCTCAAATGTTAGACCTGATTAAACCAGAAAGGATGGACAAATAAAGATCAAATCTCGTCAGATTTTCATTCTAGCCCATAAACCAGAAACGGAAGATGTTGCGCGGTAGTTCCCACAGTGGGCACAGAATGGACTGGGATGGGAAACAACATGGCACAATACACTGATAGTACATATAGCAAAGAAAACAGAACAACATACTTGCAACGATTGAATCCCCCCCTCACGGCGTAGTTCTTCGGCATTCAGTGCACTGGTTGCCACCGTCTCGAAGGCTAGTTCGGTGGCCGCGACCAGTAGGACAGCATTAGAGGCGTTCTCTTTGCCAGCCTTCTCGTCCCCGGTAGATGTTCCATTGCTATCGGCATTTTTCGTTCGTGGAACGGAGAAATCCTCACTGTTTGCCACACGGGAAAACAGCTCTTCGTCTTCCGTCTCACGTCGGATTGTGGCTATTAGCATCGGATAGCCAGCGTATTTCTGAGGAGCCAAAACTGAAACGTTATGGAAGGACAGAGTCGATGATTGTGCTACTGCTTCCAACATGTTGCCAGACAAGTGGGGATTCGATTCAAAATAGAAGGGGTTAATTGAAGTTCAACTTCGAAACCCGGCAATGGGTGGAGGGATCGCATTCGATGATCAGCGGACTGTGTGAAGCGATCTCGGACTCAAACGAAACATAATCATCCAAGATGAGAGTTGAAAAACTCGGATTTATTGCATTGTAAATGCAATAGCGTTCGTTGCATTCAACTGAACCCGTACATCACCCAGACTGGGATTCGAAGGGTAGAACGCAAGCGTGCTGTACTAATCATGTTATAATCAGCCGAGGGATTGAGTCTCGAAGTTATGAGAACCTTCAAAATATGACCCGGACTGGATTGCGAGCTGCAGGAGGCTCGCTCGAACAGTATACGTGTAACATTGAGCAACACTGAGTGAATGAGAGAACCTGATAAAACCCAGATCTGACGCTGGTGACAACAGCAGCGCTCGAGCTAAGCACTCTAAAGTCCAGAGTACACCAGAAACGGTTTTCATCTTGATCAACCTATTTCGAACTGTCTGTACAAAATACAACATCGTCTGAATTCGTTGACGCGCGATAGACAGTCAAATAACCTAGCTAGCTCATCTGACACGTGCGAATTCGAAAACATTCGATGGACAGCGTGCGATCACCGATCAGTTTCAGTTTGCACAATCATTAACCATGAAATTTAGTGTGTCGGTTTCGATTGCCATCTTTTGGCGNNNNACTCAGTGTCTCTAACCATCGATTACGGTCATCCCGAGGTCCCCAGCCAGGGAGTCTAACAGGACCTATATGAC